GGGGTAGGCCAGGAGAGACGGGGCATAACCTCCACAGAGCTGCATACCCACAGCGGCATTCTTTCTGGAAGGTTACATTAAAAGTCGATGTCGGTGGTTGCCTCTCAGGAGGGGAGCTGGGGCCTGGCTGTGTGCCCCGAATCCCCGGGGCATTGATTAGGAAGGTCCAGCAGACTCTCTGGGCCTCTCAGCTAGCATTCCAGAGAAGTCCAGCTGACAGAGAGGAGCATCAAGACAAGCAGCGGTGCGGGGACCCAGAGGGGGACGCCGTGTGCGCTCTGTGAGACCAAGAAGGAACAAAGATTGCAGCCTGGATCCCGGACTCACTCCTTTGCTGTGTTGCCCCGGAGTCCTTGCAGCTCCCCCTCTGCTTTGTCAAGCTAAAGGAAGTCTCCAGTCCTTGTCCCGAAAGGCCAGCTTACTATCAGGAAGCATGAATGTGCGAGTGCTCGTGCACATGAAAGGAAGGTGTAACATTTTCTAAGTGGTTGAGTTAAATGACTTTTGTCACTTAACATTTGTCACTTTTACCAAGTGGGCTTAGCAGATAAGTGTGCTGTCAAAAGCATTTTCCAGAACTCTCCAATCAGCTGTGAAAGAAATCTCCAATCAGCTGTGCCCATTGTCACAGGAGGCTCTCCAGGTGGTGCGGGGGAAGGGCCCGGAGCCAGCCTGCCTGAGACACACGCTGGGACACACAGCGAGGGCACTGGAAGGCAGGAGGCAGCTTCTAGTCCAGCTGCAGGCAGGGTGACCCTTCATTAAGAAGTGCAGACCCCTCATCACCTTCTGCCTACAGAAGGGAGTGACAGCCTGTTTGCAGAATTCTAGACAAAGAATGATTAACAGCTAACATAACACCAAACATGTATGGAATGCTTTCTCTAGGCCAAGGCATGTGCTAGGTACTTTCATAGGCTGCCACCTTTAATCCATACCCCAGCTCTCCAACGTGAGGATTCTCAAATGAGAAGCCAGGAGATGCTTTTAGTGCAGATGCTTAACAATATTCCCACCTGGTCAGTAAGAGCACGGGAGCCCAGAACTATGCTCAGGAGCCCAAGGTGCTGTGGGTGCCGGCGGGAACACTGGGAGGTCTGATGATGCCTCTAAAGATGCCTTCCTCCTCTATGGCTTTTTCGGGCCTCCTAACACCCGTGATAAATTGACTTCCTAATGATTTTTGAGTAAACCAATGATCAGAATTTCAAAAGCATTAATAATTCATGACCAAGGGCCATAAACACTATAATCTCCACAGGCAGGAGCCATGAATACTGGTGAGGACCAAGCAGAGAATACTGGTAAGCAGCTGAGCTAAAACCATCTCCTGATTTCAAGCCAACCACGGGAAACGGGTTTCTCAGAAGCGACTGCCCCTCCAGACGTCTTCTCTCCCTCTGGGGTCTCCAGTCCTCCGCACACACTGCCCCGACGGGGGCAGGCCGGCCCTGGACAATGCATAGCAAAGCTTCTTGGGGTCTTCCGTGTGAAGCCCGTGAAGCATGGTTCTGCCTCTTGCTAGCCTCTGACCTTGAGCAGGTCCTCAACCTTCTCTGTGCCTCAGTTTCTCCAGCAGTGAAGCAGCAAATATAATCCCGACCAGACCCTGCGGCTGTGTGTGAAGGTCACAGGCCTGGGGCCCATCTGTGGCTGTACCCGGGACTCACCGCGGGGAGGTGGAAAAAGTCCAAACTGGTTTGGAAAGAGACTTGAAATGTGGGCTATCCTGAAGCTCCAGGCAGTTGCAATGTGCAGCAGACCATGACCTGCTGACCCAATGTCCTTATGTGGGAATGGCACCCTGGAAGTGCCCCGCGGGGGAGGGTGGGCAGCCACACTCAACAGCACCCACTGCTGTTGCTGCCAAGCAGGAATAAGGACTCCGGTTTGTCATCCTCCCTTTTCCCAAAGATGCCAGAAATCCATAGTTTTAGGTGAAACTGCCCAATATTTAAAGGTGAACTATTCATTTTTAAAAATTGTAATAGGGTGTGGATTGGGAAAAACCCAGCCCTGGTCTGAGACTGGCCAGCTGGGGGAGTGCAGCTTTGAGGGCTCCCTGAGGCGTTAGGCCAGGACCACGATCCATGACCATGAGGACCCCCATCCCCACCCCCACAAGCAGCAGGCTCATTCCCAGAGGGCAACTCGGCCACCCAGCCTGGCCATGGCAGAAACACAGCGCATATCCCGGCTGCTTGTCCTAGCCTGCACTGGGCAGGAGACAGACCCTCACAGTGACTGGCATGGCACACACTGCCCACCCAGTGTGAGACGCCCACCCCTGGTCAGTCCAGACTTCAGGGACCAGAGGTGGAAAGGGCGTGCTGGTGCACAGAGGGATGAGGGTCCTGGCAGCTTATTATTTGAGTTTTCATTTGTTCTCGTCTTGTTGCATTTTAGCCAGTGCTATTTTTCAGAGGGCCTGAAGCCATCTGACATATCTCAGGGGTCCACCTGGCTATTGTGAGAGACCGCCTCACCCCTTGTTCTCTCACTTCAAGCACTGTCCAGAAGGAGAGCAATCTGAAACGCTCTCGGCACCGGGCATGCTGGGAGCAGCTGAGAAAGCAGCAATTAGGGGAGTCCTGTTGCCAAGGAGAGAGGTGGGGAGCGAGAGAGGGAGCTATCTCCACGAGCTACCCACCGTCTTCCTGCCTCATTTCCCAGCTAGTTTCTCCACGTCGGAAACGAGGGGGTCAGAGGCCAGGCCAGCTCCCCGGGCTGCATCACCGAGGGAGCCAGAAGCCTGCGGGCCTCGGCACCCCTGACTGCAGGGCTGGGGAAGAACCTTGCAGAGAGAGGATGAGCGTACCTGTTCGTTCCTGCCGCCACGAAACAAGTCCTCCCCGGCTCACTGCTAGCCTGCCCAGCTGGGTGGCCCCTGATCCGAGGGGAGCCCTGGTGAAGGGGTTAAGAGTTGGGCTGCTCACAGCAACGAGAGCGGTTGGCAACCACCAGTCGCTCCACGGGAGCAAGACAGAGGAGTCTTTCGACGACCTAAAGAGTCACCGCTTCGAACTCGCAGGGCAGCTCTACCCTGTCCTGTGGGGGTCACTAGGAGTCGGCATCGACTCGATGGCAGGGAGTTTGGTTTGGGTTGATCAGAGTCCCTCAGCTACCTCCCAGGTAAGTTGATGAAATAAAGCAGAACACCTGCACTGGCTTTCTTGGCCACAGCTGAGAAGGGCATACGAAAGTCACAGGCAAGCACACAAGGTCCTTCGCAGCCCAACCCCAGGCTACCTCGTGAAGCCTGCCCCTAGTCCATGGTCTGGCTGGAAGGTGGCCAGGGCTGCTTCCACAAGCCAAAGGCCCTTTGTCTAAGGTGACCAGATTTTAACATTGGTAAAGCGGGACACCATTGATAAAACTCATCTCCTGGTGAAATAGCCACATGGAAGCCGAAAACCATATACCCTAGCTTGTCATGCATTCTTTCCCAAAACTGGGACTTTTTAAAAACGCCACAGGACGCAGACAAAATTGTTAAAAATTGGGACTGTCCCGCCAAAAGCGGGACGTCTGGTCACCTTACCTTTGTCATGTGTCCCTGGCTCACTGAGCTCAGTCGTGTGGCTCTGGAGGAGCGGCCCTGGCGAGCCTGACCCCAGGTGTGGCAGATCAGCATAATCAAACCCTCCCTCCGCTCCAGCAATGCGTCAGAGTCTAGCCAGCGTCTCTGCATGTTTGCCAAGCTGCTGCACAAGCCAAGCTCTTTCTCTGCTGGGGCAGCTGAAGGGAAAGGCTCTAAGCTAGGATGTGGTGGTCGCCATTGGACTGCGCTGAGGGCAGAGGGAGACCAAGCCTGGCCAGGTTTGAGCCCCCAGGCCCAGTAAGGCCTGGCAAATTGTCTTTCATTCTTGGAATGATGTCCCTTGACAATCAAGAGTCTTCTTAGGTAGGTGGTGAATTTCTTTCGGGATTGGTCAAACACACCTGCACCCATTTGCCACTACATCAGACCCACGTGTAAACAGCCTTGAGTCTCAGGCCTGATCAAGCAGCCCTGCTGTCTGCTCTGTCTCTCTCAACTCAAGGGTTCTGCCTACCTTTCCCCACCCCCCTGCCTTAATGGTTCCTTCCCCTTAACCTTGATTATGCTGCTGACTTGGCCTGGGGAGTGCTCTGCAGCTTTTGAGAGGCAGCCCACCCATTACCTTTCCACCCACGCACTCTTGAGAGGCCTAACACAGCGATGAGATCCCTTTTGTGTGCTAAAACCCCCTTTCTTAATCCCTCTCTACTGTCACATCTCACACTGCGTTGTCCCTTTTGACCACACTGTAAATGGCGTGAGATCATGGCTCTCCCAGCTCTGAGCCCCAGCCTCTGGCCTGGGGCCTAGCACAGAGCAGGAGGGGCTCAGTGTGGCAGGCAGACAAGTGGGCCTCGGTATTTTGCGGCTCTTCCTGTCGGGGTGAGACTTCTTACCACCATTCCTAGAATCTGGGTTGACCAAAAAGAGTGGCGGGAGTGACACGGTGGCAGCTCTTGAACCTGGATTTCTAGGCCTGCTTCTTGGGCTCTGGAAACCCTGAGCCGCTGCAGGAAGAAGCCCAGTGGGCTTGCTGGAGGAGGAGTGAGCCTGTGGTGCAAAGCCCAAAAGCATCCTAGGTGGCACTCAGTCCCCAACGACGCTGAGGTTGGCTGCAGGTGCTTGAGCAAGCCCCGGCTGAGGTCAGGTGATCCTGCCCCTAAATCAGCAGGTCTTCCTGGGCTAACCCGGCCGAAGCTGCTAACCCACAGTCATGACTGTGGTCTGGAGCCACTAAAATGTGGGGTGAGTTGTTACACAGCCGCAGCTAACAGAGACCCTTGGTAGGAGAGCCACAACAAGAGACACTGGGTTGAGAAAGAGTTGCCCATGATGGTCCGTGTCCTTTGTGGGAACCCAGAGAGAGATGAGTGAGGCATCTCGTTCTTTACGGGCCGGTACCCGTGGATCCTTTCTAAGAAAGCTGCCCTCCACCAGCCCTCGGCGGGGACCCACTTACCTCCTTTTTCTCCCGTGAACAGGAGCGGCTTCTCTCAGCCTTTCGCAGAGCCTGACCTGCAGTGATTCAAACGTAGAAACAGGTTAAGGCTGTTTGAGAAAAGCTAGTTCATCACTGCTTCAGCTTCTTATTTGCAAACTGAATCGATGGGGCCAATCATAATTTTAAGGAAATGCAGCCTATTATTCTAACGGGGAGATGGCACACTTTGGATGCAGACCAGAGCCAATTCACACACTCGCATTGTGGGTCCATAATGAAGAGAACGCCGCCCTTTAATTTGGAACATTATCTGCAATCTGCAAGAGCCGCAGAAGGCAGTTTTCTCAGTCAACTTACCTTTTCATTAAACTGTTTGAAATGACAGGACCACCAAAAACCACCCTCCACCGTGTGCATCACATGACCTTAGACGAGTGCAGCCCAGGGGGCCCGCCACACCCCAGACTCACCACAGAGTGAGGGTGCAGACGTGAATTAGTGGTAATGGCCAGCATTACACAGAATGGGCAATTTCAGAGCGAATTGTTGCTTTTCTCGGGAAAACTGGAGCACTAACGTTTGAAGGTGTGCATAAATTCAATAGATGGGCATCATCCGTGTTTAAATATGCTATTCCACATGCAGTTCTCACAACTTTTATGGACATGGCCATTATAAAAAGATTCTCTGATGGAAAATTAATGGGTTGCCTGGGCTTTCATGTGGAAGATGGGAGCGCCACTGCGAGCTGTCAGCGTGACTTCTCACTTGTCCATCGTCACGCTCAGGTGGCCACTGGTGAGACGGAGCCACTGCCACCACCATATGCCCCACCCATGGAGAGTACTCGAGAGGGCAGGAGCGACAAGGCTTAGTGACACCCCAGGGGAGTCAAAGAAGGAAGAGGTAGCGTTTGTCCTTGGATGTGGTCACTGCCGTGGGTGGGACACAGCTGATGATAAGGTCCAGTCAGAGGAAGATGGTCTTTCCAAGAGAGTGAGCAATGGGGGTGAGTGAGGGTCCAAGGATGGACATCTAGCAATGTCCACCTTTGGGGGTCAACACAGAAAAGGGTGTCCAGAAAAGGCAACCATTTGCAGGCCAGCCTGCCCTGGTTCTGTGAGGCAGAGGAGGAGGGGCAGAGCAGGGCCTTCTTTGTGTGTGAGCTCCAAAGCAGGGAGTGGCCAGCTGCCTGGGGATACACTAACAAAGGAGGCCAGGAGGCCGAGAAAGAAGGGCCTGATCTTGACACAGAGGGCGGACAAACGGCCTGTGCATCCCCTGTGGTGGTGGTTGGGTTGTGTGCCAGAGACACCACTCACGTCATTCCTGTGTGTGCACCTATGTTCTCGCTCCCTCCTTCCCGGGCCTTAAGACAAAGAAAAAGCACTGAGGATGCGGGGCTGAGGAGGAGCCCAGTACTTGGGGATCAGGGCTGATTGGCTCCTCTGCTCAAAACTGCCTGATGAGGATGTGCTGCAGGAGTGGCTCAAGTGGGGCAGATAAAGACCTCCCACCTGCCCGAGCTAGCAGCCAGAGGGTTTCCCAATGGGCTCTAAACAACCAGGTGGCCTGGAGCTGGAAAGGGGCAGAGCTGGTCAGAGGTCCGGTTTCCTGACAGACCCTGGCAGCAGAAGCCATGCTGAGGAATGTCAGATGCCAGCAGGGTAAAGTAGGGACCAGGGTAGGAACCAGTCCAGGGGCAAGCAGGACAACCCCCTGGCTCGCTCGCTGAGGCCCGTCCTCAGCCAGACACGTGTCCAGGGACCCAGGCCAGTGGATGGCCAACCCATTATGGGGCCTGTAATCACAGGGTTTCTCTGGACCATAATCTCCTCTTTTTCAGATAAACATTTTTCAGCTGAGCTGAATCACCTCATTCTGCTTTCAGCTCTACAACTTAAGTTACAACAATACAGGGCAGTAAACAAAAATGAGAGTGGATCATAAAAACAAAATATTAATAGAAAAAACAGAGCTTAACTCCTGGAATTTGAAAGCAAACTTCTCTTGTGGAATTAATTGAATGCCTCTTTATTCATTAAAGAGAAAATAATTTGCTTATTTTCCCACTAAGATAATTGGCTCTAATGACGTGCATGTGTTATCTGAACGCCCCAGCAGCCCAAGACCTCACCCTACTGGGCCTCTTTCCAGGTGGCTTGAAGCGGAGACAGTCCCTCCTTTCTCTCGGAGGACAGACCCTCCCTTCTCTCGGAGGACAGAAGGCGGGGTCTTAACCAAGTTACACTTGCCTATCGACTGCACTTGTGACTTCCCACCTATGTCTCATTTATTTCTCACAACAACTCGGGGAGGGAGGTGGGAGAAGGTGACATTAATATCAATATATGCAGCCTGCAAAATTATGGGGGTGTTCCTCTTCATTTTGCAAGGTGACCTGCCTGTTTAGGCTGCGAGGCAATAAATAAAGCCGCACGTAAATGACACCTGTGTACTTCCCTTGGCAGAGCAGATGTGTGCCTGGGGAAAAGAACAAAAGAAGTACAGGCCTTGAATTGGTGTCAGTATAACAGGCTCTCCCACTTCGGATTTCAGAGGGGTGTCCCTGCACGGAGGATTTACTTTCAGTGGGGAGACAATTCTGACATTTCGGTTTTACTTTGCTCTCCGTGCAGATAATGCTATTCATCACCACCATTTAGAGGGGTCACATCTGCCTTGAATGCTACTTTCTGAAGTCATCAGGCAGGAGAAAATCAGAGTCAAAATTACCCTTGAAAAGGAGCCTTAGACCATCTATAGGACACAAGTTTTACAGCCACTGCTGCAGAGTAATATGCATGGATATCTGTCACGTGTGTGTTTGTGTGTGTGCGCGCATGCCTATGTAAAATGTAATTTCATGGTATTTCTGATTAAGCTATTCATATTGCAATTACTTCCTTTATTTTTTGCCTTAGGGTGGGTGGAGGGGGTGGTGGTGGCAGGAATCAGGCAGTGAGTTCATGAAAGTTAAATGCTTGCTTGGATGGTAAATGCAACTCTACCCTAGCAGGCACCTGCACTGCACCAGCTCTGGGGCCCGGGCATCAAATACATCCACAAATGCCAGTCCTATAGATCAAAGCTTCTTAAACTGCAAGGCATGACCCCAGGTCAAGTCATGTGACTGAATGTGGGGGCCGAGAAAAACTGGGCAACAGTAAAAGGTTTCTGAAAGCGCAATGACTAAAAGCTAATTCAAAAGCAAACGTGAAGTGAATCTTAGTGGTTCCTGGCAGTGCTTGCCCAGGTTGCAAACTTGATTCTCTGGTGAAAAGGGGTCATGAGTGGAAACAGTTTACATTTACAAAGCCCTGCATTTTGATTTGGGCAGGGAGGAGGGTAGAGGCAACGACACATACTTTTTCTATAAAGAGCCAGGTGTTTTTTGTTTTTCTTTTTTAATTTGCAGATCAGGTCCTAAGACCATAAGATAGTGCAACTTCTCATCTCTCCCTTGCAGCACAAAAGCAGACAATTGGCAATATGCAAACAGGCCTGGTTGCGATCCAATAAAACTTTATTTACAAAAACAGACAGTGGGCCAGAGCCTGGGCTGTAGCTCGCTAACTCTTGTTTTAGATAGACATTATTATTCTCTCCGCAGGAACATGCTAAAGAATAACCAAGAAACAAGTAAACTGAGGCTGCGCAATTGGGTTGTTTTTTCAGGGTCAAACACTGTATTTTCACCATAACCATCACCATCATCAGTACCATTATCACTGTCACCATCTTTGGTACAGTGTACTCTGTGCCAGGCTCCCAGCAAAGGATTTGACAAGCATCCACTTGGCTACTCCTCACAGCTACCCTATGGAATAAGGTACTGTCCTCCACTTATACTAAGCTTCAAAAAGTCAGGGAGCCTGTCCTCTAGAACACCCCTGGCGAAAGGAGAAACCTTGATTTGAATCCAGGCAGTTTTGTCTGAAGCTTGACTTGGAAGCTGGAATCCCTACAGGGCCCTCAGGTGGTCAAGAGACCAGCTCAAGAAAGCCAGAATGTGCTGGGAAGGGAGTTTGATTTAACGAACTCTTTCAGTGACCCAGTGTTGTAATATGTACTTTCATTTAAGAGCAATGCATATGTCGGCATGAGAAGAAAATTATTCCCCAACAGTCAGAGAAAATGGCATGCCTACATTGCCAGGTGGATCCATGAGCAGATCTGGAATATGGCCAAGGGCACAAAATATCCAGTGGTGAGGCAGGCTGGGCAGCAAACGGTCCTTCCTGTCGTCCATGTGGATGCAATGCTCAGCCATGGCAAAGAAGCACTGGACGCTGAAAAGTAAAGGTGACTCCAGGAAAACCCTGTAGGCCAGTGGTTCTCAACCTGTGGGTCTCAACCCTTTTGGGGGTCGAATGACCCTTTCACAGGGGTCACCCAATTCGTAACAGTAGCAAAATGACAGTAATGAAGTAGCAACGAAAACAATTGTATGGTTGGGGGGGAGTCACCACAACAAGAGGAACCGTATTCAAGGGTCACGGCATGAGGGAGGTTGAACCACTGCTATAGGCAAAGTGGTTCAGGCAGGGCCTGCCCATCACAGAGGAGTCTCCAACCATCAACTTGTTTCTGCTCAGTGAGGGGCCCTGCTGGTGGGTATAGTGGTTACATGTTGGGCTGCTGACCACAGGTCCTAAGTTTGAAACCACCAGCCGCTCTGAGGGAGAAAGATGAGGCTTTCTATTCCCCTAAAGAGTTCCAGTCTTAGAAACCTACAGGACCCTGTCCTATAGGGTCGCTGAGTTGGAATCGACTTGATGGCGGCAAGTTAGTTTTCCCCAGCAGGGCGATGCGTCTTCCGTTTAGTTATCTCTCCTGCGGTCTAACTGTGAGGGCTCAGACTGCTCTTCTTTTCTGTGCCCATGGACAAATGATAAACAGCCTCCCGAGATACCATTTTCTAGCACTTATCAGATTGGCCAAAAGCCAGAGCGTTGACAATACACTGCTGGCAGAGCCTGGGCCGCGGGCACTTGAGAGCCCGGCTGGGAGAAGCGCAAACGACATCCTCAAAAGCAGCCTCACACCATCACCTCTAGGAATGTCCTGCGAAGCAGCACCTCCACAAACAGGAAACCAACAGACACCTAAGGTGTTGGCCGTATCACAATGTGTACCCAGTGCATTTGGAAATCAAGTCCTTCAGTGGGGGACTGGCTGCCGGAACAAGGGGGCTCCATGCAGGGGATAGAAGAGTATTAAGCTGGGGGAAAGCAGCAGCAAGTTCCTTACAGAGCCTGT